CAGTGCACATTTACCTCTTAAGTTGTTTGTTAGGGACTGTTGCTCAAGAAAGTTTATTATTTTCAGAGACCACAGCAAACCAGGTGTTTCTCTTATCTTTTGTAAGAAGTCAGACAAAACAGGAAATAGATGAGAAAGATATGATTTTGCAGGACATTGTGACAGAATCTGCATTTCCTCACATTCAAAGAAGAAGAAAAGAAAATAGAATACAGAAACTACTTATGTAACCTGATGAAAAACAAGAAGCAAGAATGGACAATGAAGAAGTGATAATGGTAAAATAAAAAAATCAGCAGAAATGTCTAACGTGGTAAATATACCCACAAATGTGTTGCACATAGAAAATAAATATATTCATATGGTATAAAGAAACTACTTCTTTATGTAACTCTACATACACATCATCCACTAACCAGAGGGTCGGTGGTTTGAACCCCAGCTTCAGTCTGCATTCTGATTCATTGTGATCCAGGTTATTCTAAATCCTAAATTGCCCCTGACATGTGTGAATGTAGCTCTGCACGAAGCAGCGATGTATGACAGCCAATAAAACTGGAAAGTGCAATAGGGTTAAACTGATTTGGTTCTCATGTAAATCTGTTGCATCTTGCACATGTGACATTTCATGACAGTTTGTGGAGGCCTCTGTGTGTCATGGTGACAGAAAACACGTCTTCACTCCAACATCACTAGATTCATGAGCCTCTTCTTTCCTCTGTAATAAACGCGGAAGGTACTTCACACCTGAATCATGAGTTCTGCTGTATCACAGCATTTCTATAAAAGCTCGAGGAAATGAACTCCACCCACAATTGAGAGGAAACAGCATTCTGATGAAGGCAAGATAACTGTGTTTATTCGGAGAAGTGTTTAAAGTTGATGAACATCATTAGTCTGCACCTCATTTCCAACATGAGATGTGAACAACAGAATATTGAGGCTCTATGAGAATGAATTTAATATAATAGAGTTAGAATATTTTTCAGTCGTGTTTAATGCACTTATAGTAGTTTTAGTCTTTACAGGAGTTTCAGTTTTGACAGAGGAATTCACATCCAGAAATGACTTCAAATCTGTTTCTCATGTTTTTAATAACTCAAAGGGAAAGTCTCCTTCAGTTTGTTGACACCAAACGTCGCTCTTCATGACCAGACTCAAGTGATTCTCTATATTTCCATCATTTGATCACATGAGGTCGCTGTTCTGTTGGGAGTTACATTATTACTGGAGATTAAATACAAAAGAACTTAACTCAACACACTTGTCTTCTTGATTTCTAAACAGCACCATATTAGTTTATATCCATTGTTTGTTTCACTTCATTATACTAAATCTATTCTCTCTACAAGATACAGGAGATGGTGTTCTGTATTTTTTTCTTTCTTCAAAAGGTCAATTTGTTTTTGACTGCAGCTTATTCCTATTTTAAATCTTTATGTTTTACATCAAGCACATCTAATTTACAGGAGGTGTATCTATTATTCTGACCACCCCCTGTAAAACGGAGGCTGACGTAGATTTATTTCACTGAACCAGTTAAGACCAAACGTTTTATTCTCTACTGCAATGATTTTGAAAAGCATTAAAAGCACGTATGTAGCATGCGTGCTGAACAAAAGATGGCCATATGCTCTTTTTCAGAAATAATCAGTGTAATTTGTGTTCATATTTTCTTGAACACAAAGAACAATTTCACAATGATTTCCCACCTCATGAACCGGTTAACAAAGCTGCTTCACAAAAGTAAATAAAAAGGTAAAAAGTAAATTCTATCATGAGAGGTGTTTGCTTTGTTCCTCTGTCGACTTTGAACTTGAAATAAAGTAATTGCAGTAAATCCTAATAGACCTAATTAGAATAATCCTTAAGGTAGCCTTTGTGTTTGTTGAACGATAAACTACAAATCAGATAAAGCTGCAGGAATTTTTACATTTATTTTCCATTTCTTTCTGGCTTCTGCCACAATTTCACCTTATTTACCTTTTGACAGCTCTGGAGGCAGAAAAAGTCAGTGTCTGGCCTGAAGTGACTGGATACCTGGGGCCTGATGTCGCTCTGTCATGCCAGTTCATCCAAAGACCAGAAAGCTGCATTATAAATCAGGTTCATTGTTGTATGCTGCAACTAGAAGGAAAGAAAATCCCCATTACTGCTTCTCATAGTCTGTGTGTTCTGAATATTCCCTACAAAGAGCAATCTTTAATCATTCACGATGGGAAATTAGAAATGTGTGGGTCAAATGTGCCTCATCCTCGTTGTTCAAGATGAGAATGTAAAGCATTTTAAATGAAGTGCAGAGAATCTTTGAAATGAGCATGATCGTTATCGTCTATCACATGAGTGGTAAATAACCTGACTCTGTTGTTCTTAAACAGCAGCAGAGTCTTAAAGTACACTTAACTCTTTATTTTGCCATTTTCACGACCATAACAAATTTTCTGCATTAATTGCACCTTCATAAATCAGCGACAGCAAGTGTCTGAATTTCTCATCAAATCATTAGGGTGTATACTGACACTGACGTTATGTTTGAATTCATTTCAAATAACATCATCGAGGATAGTGCCCACCATCATGGTGTTTGTTCTATTAGGAGTTACATCATTACTGGAGGAACCATTGAACAATTCTCTCCAGTTAAACCATTCAGAGATTAAACACAAAAGAACTTAACTCAACACACTTGTCTTTACTCAGATGTGACGCTTCAGTGACCATGTTTGAACAAATGTGGGAAAAAATCATCAGTTCCTCCTCTTGATTTCTAAAAAGCTCCATATTAGTTTATATCCATAGTTTGTTTCACTTCCTCTGTATTGTAAGATGGAGGTAATGGTGTTTTTTCTCACAGTCAGCAAATAGAAACAAGCAGCATCAACAAAGCATTAGTCAAACTCTCAGAGCTCTCTGACTTCCCTGCTCTGTCCGTGGCTCTCAGCCAAAGTCCTAGATCTATAAAAACTAGTAACAAGCAGTTTGACGTTATTCATTTCAGCCCGCGTGTGCCAGTGTTTCATTCTAATGAAGGAATGTGTCAGCCGGTTCAGCAGCGGCTCATTAATGTGTTTGTGGACAATGGAGGATCAATGTTAGTTTTGGTAACAGGACATGCACTGTTTGCAAAGTACCATCCACCATCATCATGCTTTCATTTTGCAGGTTCATTTTATTTTTACTTTCATTTTATATTGAAATTGAGCAAAAGAGTTTATTAGATGTGACAAAATGATTCTTGTTGTTGCTTAAGTATAATTAAGATTTGTATTGTTATTATTATTATTATTTGTGGTGGTGTGGAGGTTTCCTGAAAGATGTTACTTGTGTTCATGCTTCTGAGCAGGGAGACGGACACAGTACTTTTTGTTGCTGTTGATAGCAAACCTTTGGTTTCTTATTCTCAGGCAGGATATTGTTTTTGACCCTGTGTGTGTGTGTGTGTGTGTCTGCGCTAGGTCCATGTGTATAAAATAACTCAATGCATGGGCATATTTTCACCAAACTTGGCGGGACTATTGCTGTGGAAGGTATCCCCAGATGACCATGATGTTTCGGAGCTGATTGGTCAAAGGTCAAAGGTGAAGGTCGACAAAAATATGGTCAGAAAAACACATTTTCCAGGATATCTCCACAACTTACAGGGCTAGAGAGACAATCTGAAGATTATATTAAACAGAAAATGATACCTTATCATACAATATCACATGATAAGTGAAATCAGGAAGTCACGATGAAGTCAGAAAATGAGGTCATGCATAGTAAATAAATCATTTTTCAAGGTATATCTGCATCCTTCAGGACTTTAGACATGACCTGAAGCTTTTATGTTATCAAAAGATGATTGATAATTGCATGGTGAGAATGATATCATCATGATTTCACTATAAAGTCAGATTATTACATCATATAGAGTGGTAATGCTTTTAAAACATGATCTACAGCTTATTTAAATCAACTAATCATTCTTATCCTTTCATCTCAATGCATCAACTATATTTACCAGTTACTTTTCAGGCCCACTTTTTGTAATAAACATGAAGAACTTAATAAAATACACTGCTTCGCATCTGGCTTTTGACTCCTAGGGTGTAGCTTTTCCACATTTTGAGTGTTTGAGTTGTGAGCAGTACCACAACAAAGACATGTCACAAAAACACAACAGACTGGAGAAATGGCCAAAATCTGATATGAGTGTATCACAACTTCTTTTATTTTTCTTTCCTACCCCATTAATCATCTCAAGACCCCTCTGATTTATCTTTTGACCCTTAGAAGGAGCCTGATCCTTAGGTTGGGAAACGACTTGACTAAACTCCCAAACAGGTGGTTTTATATGAAGCATTTGAAAGACGCTTCACCTCCACCAACTTCAACAGTGAACCACCATCAGTACCGAACAAATGAATGATGTTAAATACGTCAGTCATGAGGGACTTTCCACTTGCAAAGCAAAGACACGTGTCACTGTGCGACTGTTTGTATAATTTTATTCCAAAAGAAGTTTGTGTGTCTATAGGTTTGAACAACTGGGCGATCGCTCTGCAGAACATCATTGCACCTTCAGCCCGATGCCTCCCACCACCAACCTGCACCCACAAGCACACGATTGAACCTCCTGCTCCTCAGTAGGAATAATAACAACAATTTAATCATAATATTCATCGTCAGTTTTAATAATCCATTTAGCACTAGTATAGAAATATGAAAAAATATCAAAGAAAAGAACATAAAAGTAAACGAAAAGGTTTGTTTTGCTGAGTGACCGTTCAGACACCCCATCGGATTTGTTTTGTGACCCTCCCTGCCCTTCGCTATTCGTACTGGGGTTATGGTTTGTACCGCTTGCCTCTTCACAGTAATGCATTGCAGCAAAAAATGCTTTAAAGCTGTAGATGACCACCTAATAGCTATATGGTGCAGTTTCTAGGGGGGTTTGCCCATTTGTTTACAGAGCATGACAAAGACGATGAAGAAAAGAGATTGCGAAGACAAATTTGAAAACAATAACATTTAGATAACAACAAATCATGATGTGGTTGATGAGTGTGATTCTGTGTTTGTGTGTGTGTATACACTGTGACGTCTTGTGGAGACAGCTCGCCTCATGTGATCGTCAGAATTCCAGACGCAGGCAGAGGTAAACAGAGATAGAGATGTTTCTGCTGACAGCCATCATTCAGAGAAACAGCAGAACGTGTGCAGAGCAAACAATGTTATCATTCATTATCAGCAACACAACAGTGCGGAGAAATCTGTTGCACCGAACAAAATGATTATTTTATACAGCGATGCAATTTTAGCCCCGACAACAATGTTTGCATTTTTCAAGGGATTTCTAAAGGGATGTATTGATGGATTTGCATGTTACCTCAGACACGAACTGCTGAATATATATGGGAGAGCAGCCAGCGAGGGATCATGTACGATAGCAGTTTGATGCTATCAGTGATGAAAGCATGAAACCTCCTCAGTTACAGGTGAAAGAGGCAGCTGGTAACTCTCGACAGAAACTGAGGAGACTCATGGAAGCTGGGAATTTATAAGACACGAGGATCTGGGCACAGACGGGGAAACTGTCATTTTAAATTAGGGGAGAAAAAAAGAGGAAAAGGAAAGAAAAAAATATTGATGCATTCAGGGAACATTGACTTCTGAGAAGTGATAATCAGCGGCTGAAAAATTACATTCATGATCTCTTCTGTCAAGAAATCAAACTATTAAAGAATTGGCAAATATGAACAGCATAATGTGTATTTGGCAATTACATGCTTTGGAAATGTTGCATCAGCCAAATCTCAAATCTTGAATATCTGTATTTCCTTGAACACACCAACCAGAGAGGCTTTTCTTAACTACTGTATCAAACAGTATCTATTAAACTGGGGTGTATTTATCAAATGGTTCAGTCCAGTGAATCACTCAACAGGAAATATTTTGGGAATTGATTGGGGAACAGATTAAACAAACACTGACGTACTGATGAGACCTGCAGAACATGCTAACACAGCACAATGTCATTTAATTCTGAGACAGACATGATGTCTGAAGTAATTATGTGTTAAGGAATAAAAAAGTACAGACAGTAAATACTGTATAAAGCAGACACCAAGTATGCGGTTGTGTTTTCTTTTGCGATCTCCGTGAAAATGTGTGGACTGCAGTGGCATGACCCAAGGAACAACCAATACCATTTTGATACGGATCTGGATTGGGGGACAGATCCAGTTTAGCTCTTTTTTCACTTAGTTGTGAACATTTTCACCAATTTCATTGATTTCTCCGAATATGGATCTTAATCATGTGAATTTAGATTTTAGTTTTAGGAGGGGTGTGTATGCGCTCTCCGAGTGCCCTTCTAGTTTTGTTACTGTCGACAAATCTTATGTAAAGACCAAAACTAACAATGCATAGGGCCAACCCTCAATACTTTCACAGCCATTTGTTTCCAGTGAACATGCAACAAATATGACATATGTAGAGTTTCATTGAAAAAAAAAAAGGCACAGTAAATTCCTAAAGGAGCTGGGCACTGAGGCTTTAAGCAAATGTTAGTCAAGCAGAATAGTGTTTGTGGGGGAATATTTTCAGCTGTAGATTCATATGCTTTAGAGTATTGGAAGTAAAGGATGTACAGGACGCATTAGGAGGCTTGAGCTCTCCTATGGCGACCACAGGTACGGCTCTGACCCGGGCCTTTGCTGTGTGTCTCCTCGGCTCTCTCACTTAATCACACTTAATGTCATATTAATAAAGACAGAATGCCCCATAAAAAATCTTACAAAATGCTATTTAACCGAGGTGTTTACGTACATGGAGGTGAATGGTGTCAATGGAGCTCTATGTCACAGTGGATTCTTTGTTGTTTTGGTCTTTTCATGAGATTTCTTGAAAATGAAAAAAAAAAAATTTAAAGAAATATTGCCAGACATATTATTTAACATTCATTGTGATGGATCAGCTATTAAGCATTAACATAATTTGCTATGAAAGCAGTGGCTACTTGCAAGATAAGGAATCTAAATCTAAGGGTTTGAATAATCGTCTGCAATTATATGAAGTGTACGCACATTCAAAGTTAAAGGGCTAAAACATGCAAATCCTCCAGTGTGTTCCTTTAAGTGCTGCAGCGGATGTACTGTAGAGTTCAGATTGTTAGTGTTGGACAGAGTAGGGCTGTGACATTAACAACACAATTAAGAGAGACCGGATTCTCTAACCGCAGTGAAAAACATGTATTTCCTCTAAATCTATTCATCAGCATGTTTTCCTGTGCACAACCCTCTCCTGAATGAGTCCCCAGCCACCGAGGGGAGTAATTAGGCAATCAAAAGCTTGAGACAGTATTGACGAGACTGTGTTGAGTCTATCACTCTGGCAGGAGTCTGTGCTGTGGACGGCCAAGTCTGTCTGTTAAACAGAGAGAAGGGAGGAAGCTGCAGCTACAGCCTGCTGGCGCATTAACAAGCCCCTTAAAAGATGCCCAGAATTAACAGATCAGGACAGATCTAATAATGGAAGTAGTTCAGTTCGGGATTTCTCATTCAAATTCAGTGGTGTACTTCCCCTCTCTGCCTCTCTCTATCTCCTCTCTCTCTCTGTTCTTCTCTATCTTGTCCTCTCTGGCTCCAGCTCACCCGGTCTCTCTATCTCTTCTTCACTGTGTGAACAGAGGTGAAAAAAAAAAAAGTCTTGGCAAGCATACCCAGGATAACGAGGGACATTAATTTCACATTTCAAAGCCCTTGCTCTCTCTCTCTTTCTCTCCTTTTTCTTCCTCCATCTATCCCTTTCTCTGGCCGTCTGATTAGCTAACATTAGTAGAAGGGTGCTGGGTACATGGTTCTCCTCAGTGTGAGTAGTTACAGACAGACTTAACAGGAAGCACAAATTTTTACAGACACACATACGCACAGTGTAAAGAAAGGCAAGCCAACAGTTTCCTCTGCTAGTGTTTGTATGATGTTGTTTTGAAGTCAGTTTTATCCACCTTCCCTGACACCAGCCAAAAAAAAAGCAGCCATGGGGCACAGGGAGGGACACAAAACATCATGAACACAATTAACCATAGTCAAGTTTCTTAGTATGTAATAATCCACCATATTGTCACGCACAGTCTGTATTTAATTCCCACTTAGAACAATGGTAACAAAACAATAAAGACAACAAAAGAAAAAAACAGGAAATAATTCTCTGAAAGTCTTTTAGTTGCTGTTTTTAAATCACATACAGATACAGTATGTCCTCCAACAAGGCTTCATTTTACTAGAGGGGTGGTTAACTTCCAGGGAAGTGTCTGTGGAAGAAAACCAATGCCCTCACATCTAAAGGTTAAGTGACAAGGGAGCGCGGAGAGAGAAAGGAAGCCAATGAAGACCGTCGTCTGTGCGTCTCAGCTCAGATTTCTCCAAACTGAACTGTTCGTCAGAGTCGATTTCAGCCACTGTAACCGACAACTATCTCATTGTGTGTTTGGAGGCAGTTCTGTGTGTGTAGGCCTCAAGCTCACCTGGAGAACAGGTTATAGTTTTCCTTGTTTATTCGGTTGCCTCGCTCTCTACAGGATGACCTTGCCGAGTTCAGTTTTTCCCTCTTTTGTTCTCTGATGAATTTCACCTGTGGAGACAAGCGGCGTTTTACTGAGCGGCACAAATGTCCCTCAGTCACGTCATTGGCTACCTGCAGCCCTCCGCCCCCGCCCACACGCCTCTGGTCTCAGTCCTGGTTCACCAGTAGGTCTGTGGTGTTGCTGCTCTGTGGAGGTGGAAGGGGTCGGGCGGTATGAGGTGGGGGGCTGTGATGTAGCCTCCTCGGGCTGGGCCCCCCTCCGCCCTCACTGTCTGTGTTGGATGAGGATGGAGGCGGGGGAGGTGGTAACCTGGGCAGGGGTGCTGATGAAGGTGGTATTCTTGTCGAGGTTGATCCTATACTGCTGCCTGACCTCAGGCTCTGGATCCTCCGGCACTCCTGGCAGATCCTCACGTGGGTGCAGCTGCGGGCGGGCAGCATCACAGGGGTGGGGGCCGGTGGAGGAGGGGTGGTGTTGGCGCCCAGGGGATCATCTAGGAGTCGCTGCGGTCCAGGGCCCAGGTCTGAAAGCCCTGTCCCTCCTGCTCCACCTCCTCCACCTCCAGCACCACCTGTCAGGGGGCCAGCTCCACTGTAGAGCTTTCCGTTGCTGAGGCGCATCTCCCGCACGAGGCGCAGGGGCCGAGGGGCCCCCAGAGCTATGCGTGTGGGGTGGCGCAGGGCTGCTGAGCTGCTGAGGGGCCGACGGCGGCGCATACGGGAGCTCTTCTTACAGGAGACGGCGTTTCGGAACTCTGTGATCATCTCCTGACAGACAGACACCTAGAGAGGAAAGGGAAGGGAGGAGGGAGGACAGTAGGAAAGACGGAAGGGAGGAAAAGGGAAGGAAGGGAGGCAAAGGTAGGAGGGGCGTAACAGACACAAAGTAGGCAGGCAGCAGAACAAGACAGTGGTAAGGCAGTACGTAAATAAGACAGCGGAGGGAAAACACAAAAGAATTGAAAGGAAAACCAAAAAAAAAGGGACAAGGCAGAGAAAATAGGCATGGTAAGGCATGATAAACAAAAAGGTTGCAGGAGAAGCGAGGGCACAGAGATCAACAAATTAATTTTGAAAACAGAAATGAGGAGGTGATGGGGAAGGTTGTGGAGATGGGTAGAGATGGGAGAATAACCAAGGAGCAGAGAGAGTTATTACAATCCAAACACACAAAACACCAAAATGTTGTTTAGTTTATGGGCACTTCATCATGACACTGTGCACTATGAACGGACAGGCAGGCCTAAAGGTGCACTAACACAAACACAGTCACACAAACGGCACAACCCCACACACACGTCCCCAAATCTTTCGAAATAATTCCAAAAGCACGACTACTGTGATTTCCCCACACGACGAACAAAATGCATCAGCATGTCAACGACTCACACAAACACCATTCTCACTGAAATCATAATAGAAAGTCATGTGCTCACATAAACAGAAACAGTACTCATAATCAGAGAACAGACACTGATGGCCGAATGACGGGATGTGTGTGTATTTGTGTGTGTGTGTGTGTGTTTGTTTGAGAGAGAGAGTGAGAGAGGGAGACGCACAGTGAAATGGGTAGAGGTAATCCAAGAATGGAAACGAAGAATACCAGCGTACATGTGAGGCATGTAAAAGAAGATACATCATGACATTTAATGCCAGGGAAAAAGATCACACTAGTTCTTTATGCAAGCAAATATTGGCATCTCTCAATATTGCTTATTCGTTCCATCAAGTTTAGCTCACAGACACTTAAAACTGCCACACTGTTTAACACCAAACACTAAAAAAGGCACAGTGACTTCAAAACAGGCACGGCATGCAAAGTGAAATCCAAGTCTTTATTTGTGTTATCGTCTTTTGACGCCACAGCATTTCAGTGCCACATTCCTCTCATCTCAACATGCACATAACCTCAAACGTTACAACACGCACAAACAAACAAACATATCAGTGGAGGCAAAAGAAAAAAAATCTATCCACACTCACACACCCACAAAACAACATAATCAAAAGGGTTGGCGGGGTGCCATGGGAACCTACTGGGGTGTGTCTGTGGTGTCGGCGAGGGCAGGTATGGGGGCATACCTCATCGGTCTCTGTCGAGCGGCGCGTCGACCACACAAACTCCATAATGGCCACAAACACGGCAATGATGAGGCCACAGATCAGCACCACGAAGATGCCCCCAATGTTCTCCATCCCCAGACCTGAGAGCAAGCCACGAGAGAAAACAACATGAGCACACACATGCAACACTTTACGAGACACAGGGAGTATTGCACAGCCAGTTAAAACTGTTGCCATATATTTCTGTGCCATCAGAGGAACTCTGTTAAAAGAATAGGCTTATTTCATTTTCTTTTTCCAACTTCTTGCCAAGAGTTAGATGAAATCAATAAATATGAAGTCATAGACAGTAGCTGCTTAAATACTGGAGACAGACTCTGTCCAAATGTTCAAGCTTCGTCCCAATGTCACACTATCAGCTTCCCATTTCGTTAGATGCTGCTTATCCTTGGAGGATCGCGGAGGGAGCTGGAGCCAATCCCAGCTGACTTTGGGCAAGAGGCGCAGTACATCCTGGTGTCGCAGGAGCCACATACAGAGACAAACAACCATTCACCCTCTGTCACTTTAGACACATAAACTGAATCTGCATGTCTGTGGAAAGTGGGAAGAAGCTGCAGAACATGCTGCAAACACGAAAAAATTCCTTGATTGGCCACTGGGTTGACAGCCTGTGTTAAAAGGTAGATGGAGTCTGAAAGGCCTCTCTCAGTATTCATAGACCTTGTCTCGTACTGAGGAATAAAACATTTCTCAGCCTCAAATTTGACCCTTCTTTTTAAATGTGTTCAAACCTTAAGAAAGTGCAAAACCAAATTGCTGGAGTGCTTCTCCGATTGAGTTAAAAAAAAGAATAAATGACCCGCGATGAAGTGACTGAGTGAACTAGAATTATGGAGCCCTGAAACGCTCAAGTGTTCAGATGAAGCTCAATGATGCTGAAACATCAAGCACACAATATTTTGTTCAAAGTTATTGAAACCATTTTTAAAAGAGGTTTTCCTCTGACAGCAGCGGCACTAATGCAGAGACATTTTCATTGTCTTTGTCATGTACGCAGACACAGACCTTTAACTCTCTCACTCACACACACACACACCTTTGCCTTGCACACCTAAACAGACACACTCGCTCTAATATAATTTCCATTACACACCACCTGAGACAAACAGGAGACATTTGGGAAAGTAGATTGTGCTAAGCACCCTTCACAAGGACTTTAGGTTAGGCATTAGCCATTAGTGGGACTGTAGCGGAGAGTGAGGAGACTATTACTGGGGACATTAGAGAGAAGAAGGGAGTGGAGACAGACAGCTGCGGTCAACTGACCCTTGGCACGGTGGTCCTCCTCTTTGGGACATTGGCCCCCCTCCCACCATCTCCTCTTCAGTATCTCCAGCCTGTTATTCTCCTGCAGCTGGAGGATGGCCAGTGTGATCTCATCTCTGAACGGAGACCCTGGCAAACGACAGGAAGGCAAGGATAAGAGCGAGCGTTGGAGGACGGGAAAAGGTGCAGAGAAAAAAAAAAAGAAACACAGCCCAGACAAGAGAAGGATTATTTCAGAAGAGGAGGAAAAAACGTGGAATGGGAAAAATGTGAAAGAAAAAGGACGAATCGCAGATTATGAATTGCTGTTGCAGCCGAGAGATGGCTACGAGTGATCTCATGGTGAGAATAAAGAGAGGATTAGTGAGAGATAAAGAGCGAGAATACATCTCGACTGAGCCCAGTGGAACAGCTGCTGGTCAGAAGGAATAACAAGCATGTCATGAACTAGATACAGTAGAACAGGCCGAGAGGATCTAAAGGGGCTGTTCACTAAAAACTCAGTACATTATATATGCATTGCATGTTTTTATCTATCAAGGAGGTATTGTTTTCATTCGCGTCTGTTTATATTTCTGTTAGTGTTTCTTGACATTTCAATTCATTGATCTTGATGGAAAAAATCTGGCATTTTCAGGATCTGATATCTATGAGTGTGTGCAATTTGGTGCAGCTTGATTGACTTGAGGGGGACAGATGGGCCTTGGCAGAAGTATGAGCTCTTCTAAGCTTCTTCTAGTTTCATAATAAATCACAACCCTAAAAATCAAAAATGTTACAAGAGCAAAAACAAGAAGATGTCCCCAACCCCAGTGTCCTGGATAACCACTTGTTCAAGCTGTTATTCTCTATAAGACGCTGTAAATCACCTCCCACCTTGACAAACAATTTCAAAAATACAATATTTTTTCCCCCACCTCAATACAGATCCTGAAACCCTCTCTCCATAAAAATCCACTGCCCTCTGACTGAATTACATTACAGCTGCTGTGAACTGACACAGGGGAAGCAGCTCATCTGGCTCTGTGTCCAAAGCACGTGCATATTTAGCGTAATACAGCTCATACTGATGTTTCCTCTCCCAGGTAATGAGTTATTATCCCTTTTCTTGATGAGGTTTAGGGTTTTGGATCCAAGATAAATCCTCATCATTCATGTTGAGCCACCCTCCTCTGTGTGGAACATGCTCACTCACACCTTGTCTATTTCTCTGCCAGAAAGTATGCAGACTCAATACACAGTCTTTTCCTCTACAGGTCACTGGGGCTATAGGTGACCTACTACTTCACTCTGTAAATAGCTCTGAGAATAAAGACCCTGTGTCCTTTTGGACTATTTTTGGAGTCCACTCTCTGTGAAGAAACTCAGCCTTGAGCTTAAAGGTCATATATAAACGATTTTAAACAGTATGGCCCCAAACAACTAATTTCTATGGAAATATATTTGTTGATTTTCAGCATCCTGCACAGAGAAAGAAGCTCTTCTGTTTGTGATGTGATTCTTTGTTTTTGGTTTACAGTCTGTGTGTAAGTGCATGGGCACAAAACCCTTTCGGTGAAAGCATTGGCCCTCTAAGAATTTATAAAGTGTAATGACAAGGCCAGTACAAAGTGCTCAGATGAAATCAACCTTCCACGATTCCCTCCACTGAGGAAACCATGTTCTTAGCTAAGAAAGAGGTTGAAAGAAACGAAGGCTCTGACTTGAAAAAGAAGGGACTTTTCTTCTCTTCAGTATCTTGAAAGAAACATAAAGTTGGTTTTCATTAGCGGCTGGCTGGAGCATTAGCACTATGTAACAAATTTGTTTTGCAAATGTTGGTAGTTGGATTACGATAATGTTAGCGTGGGCTAATGGCTTTTGGGTGGATTGTTTTTTTTGTTTGCTTTTTGGTTGTTGTGTATACAGGGAAGGTCTATTTGTGTGTTATCAGGTCAATATGGTCACTTATGGCATTTGTTATGGTTTTATATATATATACATAAGCATAGAAACAGACTTTTAAGAGCAGCGTTTTTAAATAATGTAGGTTCTACATGTCATCTATAGACTTTAAACCACAGTAGATCTGACAACTAGAGGCTGAGAAGGTTTAAATCCCCAACACTGCACTGGAGTTCTTCTTCTCTTTTTATTTTATAAATCTGGTGATTATGTTCCTTCTATCTCTTCAATTACATGCAGTAAAATTTCATGTCCTATAATTTGGACACTCCTTGTCTACCGCAGTGTCACTGTTGTCCTCTGAGCCCTCTGATATTAGTAAGTAAGCTGAGTCTGCTGATGTTCGGGGCAGGATGTCTGACATGTTTCTGGAAATGAACAAAGCTCCAGTCTGGGGGTCGGAACCTCTGAAAGGGTTTGCAAAATGAGTTTAAAGTGCTGAGAGATGAGTACCAGAGAGGGAAATAAGAAAATCAAAATTCAACTACATCATTTTACATCTATTTTTCTCCAAACTTTGCTTTTATTCTTTTAATTTGTATTTTCTAGAAAAACGACACAGTATCCAGCCTGGGATTGGTGGCTGCAGCACATGTTGCTTTGTGTTAAAACATTAAACGGCTTGGGGTCGGTGTGTTAACACGCTTTGTGATAATATTTCTTTTCTTTGTTAAAAGCCTGATCTCACAACTATTGTTCTGTCAATGTTTTCTTTAACTACTGGATGTAGAACTCAGAAAACCATACATATTTAATAGGTTCCTGCTTTAATTAGTTCCTGAAATTCCTTTGCCTTAATCTACAAGCTAAGGCACAGTTACAGTAAAATACTGCAGGAGTGTTTGGAACAGAAAACGGGTCATTGTTTTAATCCTCGTGGTTTCGTATATATAATACTAGATGTCTTTGGTCTATTTCACATTTGGTCTCTGGCCTTTATTGATAAATTATAGGTGGGATGACATGACAGCTATATTTGTGACCTTCTGTGACCTTTAAATGCTTGACGAGGCCAATCCCAGCCTTGAATCTTCTGGCAAGTGAGTGGAGAATAAAAAGGCTAAAAGGTGATCGAGTGTTTGCCACAGGGGCTCGTATGCTTTAAAACATACAGCTTGAAAGACATGACCTTGAATAAATCAATACTGATGGATAAATCCCCTTTCAAAACATTTTGATAGGCCCTCTGGAAGACTCATACATTCACTATCATATTTTAAACTGTGTTTAATCGCATCTTCTCCATTGAAGGTGTTTTTTGTTTAAGTTGTTAACTTGTTTGTTTAACAGCAACTCAAACTGTTGTAAGTCTTCAAATGTAAGAGCACACTGTATATACATGGATGTGTGTATATATTGTATATCTCTAAATATGAATTAAAAAGTAACAATTCAGCAGATAGCTTTACACAATGATTATCTCTAGTGATCTAGTGCTCTAGTGATTATTATTGTGATGCACTTTATTTCAAGCAATTTAACACATGTGTGATTATATTCTATATTTGTCTTATTTGAAGTTAATACCTTGTCAGTCAGGTTGTGAAATGGAGATGCTAATAAATTTCACTGCTGCACTACTGCAATTCACTTTTCACCCGTCTTACTAAATCATCACAATGTTGACAAGCCATTCAACATGCTGCTGCTATAGGCTCCTAACGCAATACAACACAAGGTCACATAATACACTTATTTTACTTCTTCTCTGCCCTGGCTCTATGTCAATCACAGGATTCATTTCAAAATTCAAAAGCGGATCACTTATAGAGCCCGAGCTCTAACCTGCATTTTCAAAGCGTGATTTCCAGTCAGTAGCACCTAAACTTTGGAATATTTTCCCAAAATCTTAAAGTATTTAGATTCTGTAGACTCTTTTAAAATCCTCTAAAAACTCTTCAGACAGGCCTTTTGATAACATGTAGTTTTTATGTCATATATCTGCTCCCCTTGTTTTATTTTATATTTTATTTGGTGTCTTATGTGTTTTAGTTTGTAATTTAGATTTTTGATTGTATCACTTTGCTTTGCTGGTTATCACATTATCAGGTCCAACAAGGAGAAATGTAAAAAGACTAAATTAGCGTTGTTACCCAGTGGCATGCCAATGCCGTAGCCCTTGGTGTCCAGCAGGCCTCCGATCTTTGTGAGATTACAGTTGAGGCCACGATGGTATTCATTCATGGTGCTCTCCATCAGGAAGGCATACTTTGAGTTGAGCACACGGGCAATGCCCTCCTCTGTGCTTTTCACAAATACACTGGGCTGCTTGGAGTTCATGTAGTTCCACATGCGCTGGTAGGTCTGGTAACGTGAGTTCTGCAGAGGAACGAAAAGACATCAATGCAGATTCAACACTGACTACACACATCAATATCTTATCATTGATGTTTAAAGCACAAATCAAAAAGAGAGATTGAGAAAAACATAGGAGGGAAATACACATAGATCAGAAACTCCAGTGTGAATAACGACAAATAGAGTAAAACATCAACAGCAAATAGAGGGTAAAGGAGAGAGGAGAGGAGAGTGAGATGAATTAAGGCAACAGATTATTTGCTCATGGTGCAGCTGATACAACATCTTTTATACAGATGGAGGTAAATCAGCACACAGGAGGTGGTGCAGCACTCAGCAAAATGAGGCACGCTCCAAACTGAGGATTGAGTGTTTAATGTGTACAATTACATGTTGTATTGAGTGTAGAGAAGGTGTGTGTGTATGTGTGTGTGTGTGTGTGTGTGTGTGTGTGTGTGTGTGTGTGTGTGTGTGTGTATGTGTGTGTATTTGGCAATGAGTGTGGTAATGTATACCACATGTATACCACATAAATGCAATATGGATAAACACCATGAGAATGAAAAACACAGACACACACACACACACACACACAAAATACACACGCACATTGGCATTTTGCCATTTCCCATACATGCACACAAATAAACAAGTAGATTTTTTTTAAACATTCACCTACACAAACCCCCACATGTTAACACACCTACACACAAACACAAAATACACACATACACATGCTCTATGACAAACACAGATGCCGACACAGATGCCGGAAGCACTTTCATAAGCAAACACAGGCAGTCAGCCACTTAACACAAACAGCCATAAAGAAAACAATAGAGGAACTCAGGGATAAAGTAGCAAAGATGAGGACAAGCATTCACTCCAGGCTCGACAATAAAACACAAAAACTTCATGAAAAATGGTTGTAATAAAGGAGATTCAGGGAACTGTCAGATTGAGTAAATCCAGCTGCCATCACAAAGAGCACACTTTAACATCTATACACACACACACACACACACACACACACACACAGTCCCAAACACAGAGACAAATCATATATTCATCTGCAGTGAGACGTACCATGAAGAAGGTCATGGTGCTCCCTCCATGGATGGTGCCGTACTCGATGTTGGTCTGGTCGGCCAAGTCGTCGGGGGACTCGATGGGGACCTCCATCCTCTGGACAGTGAGGAATGCTGCCAGGTTGGCCGTGTAGGAGGAGATGATGATCAGGGTGAACGCCCACCTATGAGGAGGACACAGAAGGAGAAGGAAAGTGAAAAAGGGTTAGTGTGGGGATGGGTGATGTGGACAGAGTGGACATTTTTAAACAGAATATCAAGAAACAGCTTTGGGGACTTAAAATAAATCTGTCCCAAAATTATTTTACAGCACAACAACTAACCTAAACACACAGTCACAGAGAGCTATGTTCAGTGACAAGAGGAACAATGAACAGATGGTGTGGCCTGCACAGAGCCCTGATCTCAACATCACTGAGTCACTCTGGGATTACATGAAGAGACACAGGAGAACTGAGGCAACTTCTCAAAGATGCCTGGAACAACCCTCCTGCCAAAACAAAAAGTGTGTGTAGCGAGTAGAGGTGGTGCTGCTGCTGCAAAATGCAAACACAAATGAAATACGAGAAAAATCGAGTTACTTTATCACACTGATGTTGAAAGGATGCATATCCACTATTTCCATTAATCAGCCCTTTATTAATATACATTATTAATATACTCTACAATTATAAACTGGAACATGGGAGTCGGTTGTGACCTTTACTACACGTCTAAAAACTTTCTTCAAGAAGAATAGCATGTACTCACTATATTTAATAATCACTACTATTCCATATCTCGCTCAACCTCAGTATAATTTTCCCTTCCTGTCTTCCTCTACCCTTTATCTCCTTAGCTCTTAGCGATTATTATTTCTTTCTCAGCACAGCTCTCTTTTTACACTCACTCTTGTTGCCACAGGAAAATGATTGGGCCAGTATTTCTGTGAGCTTAGCGTTTTCTGTTTGCATGAATAGCTAGCGCTTGAAGACTGAAACTTATAAGCTACGTGTCAGCTATATGACGGAAATCACAAAAAGTCATTATCTTACACAGCAGATGTGCAAAAAAAAAAACATTAAGGAAAAATGCAGGTTTTTGATTAAGGAATGAGGTAGCCAGGACCTGATTTTATTTTAATAATATAACATATTAATAAACTTTATTTATGTAGCACTTTTTAATACTAATTGCAAATACATTTAAATGTCCAACCATCATAAAAAGAAGCAAAATAAAAGAGACAAATTTATAAAGTAAAAGAATCTAAAATAATTTGAGCACAATCAAATAAAATAGAGGTTTCAAGAATACCCAGTGTATAGAATCTGTGCAGTAAAGTGACAAAATAAAAGTGAGACCAAAAACCAAGTAAAAAGCAGTTTTATAAGAGCAATTTATTAGAGTATACGGAGTCAGCCTCAGATCTCCTCTGGGAGTTTGTTCCATAACAGAAAAGGCCTTGGTCCTCAACCTACTTTGTGGAACGGCGAGTAAATCCTTGAATGAGGACCTCAAATGTTTGTTACATATTCAGTCTACATCCTCACTGAGTGTCCTTCAAATTTCCATATTACATCGTAGAAGTTGCACATAGGAAAAAGATTTGCTTCCAAAGTAGCTGTAATGTCCCGAATCAGACCTGTACAAGTCTTGAGCTCAGATTTAAGCTGAGCACTGGGACTTGTTCCCCCTTTAGCACATGAAAACAGCCTTCAATGTCAAACTCTGAGCGTACACCGTTGTGCACAGTGAGGGTGAAACATTCAAGAGTAGCAACAATAAGTCACACACGTATTTTTGAGTGGAGGTGGGCACACAAACAAACACACACAGCTATTCTGTAACTTACCACACCCCACTAACACATCTGGTCGACAGGGCTCTGGGCATTATCTCTGATCCCTGCTGCATGAAGCCTCCAACAGGGAACCACAGGCTGTTTCCCAGTGTGTACTGGTTCTCCAGCATGTCCCTGCGCTCTCGCAGACACGGGTGTGGGTTGTACCACTCGTAGGGGCTCAGCCTGTCAGGGAAACAAGGGTCCAGTGGAAGGAGGTCAAACTACAGAACAGTAATGCACTTCTGCCATTTCATTCATCGATCAGTCATTCGATCCTTGTCAAACTGTCTGCAGGAGGTTGTGTTAGGTAAAAAACATCCCGATATGTGACAGGCAACCCGTGTTCGACAAGATAAATGGTGATAGAGCGCAGATGTGAGCTGCAGATTATCAGTACAGTGTGTGATGTAATGTATTGACCTTGCAGCCAGGAAGAGCACGCAGCTGACAGCCAGGTAGGCGAGCAGCATAAAGAGCCAGACAGCAGGAGAGAAGGGATCGAGGAAGGAGAAGTAACCCGGCTTCCGACCCTGATGCGGTGAAAAAGAAGAAGAGGTTAGGAAGGACAATAAAGAAACAGAAAGGCGCAGACAGACAGACAAACAGACAGGAAGGCACACTGTGATAGAAAAGAAGGTGTCATGTCTCAGTAGTCAGTAATTGTCCCTGCTGCACCACAGGAGGGCAGTGTCCTTCACTGCACTCCCACTGCAAGTCTGCAGTGCTGTGATACGCTAATGCTACAATCCATAAATGCTCTGTTTCACAATGCCTACTGCCGAAGCATACTTGGCTTCGCCCCAAAACCTCATTAGCGATGTACAGCTGCCACAGCCACCGAGTTACAGAGCACTGACTTACTGAGCAATTTAAACTACACAAATACATTTCACTGTGGACACAGTGGCTGCAGCATCCTGCATTTTATATAAAAACAATCCTTAGCTCCGGAAGGTGAGATCAACTGCCTGATTTCTTGTGTCATCTAACAACTGTCATCGTCTCCTGTGTGACCTTCGCTCACTTGAGAGCAGTGCACATGGAAAAAAAAAGAAATCCAGTCCAATATCCAGTGTAAGTATCACCCAGTGGTCGCCCCACAGCCCCGGATAACACCCTCACCAGCTGAACTCTGTACAAGATGCTGATCCCCAGGGTCATGAACGGCTTAGAGAAGTCGATAACTTTCTCTCTCTCTGACGTGATGGTGAAGCCCGCCACGGCCAGGTCTGCTTTCTGTAGGATCGAAAGGGAAAGACAGAAGGGCAGATGGATAGATCATGGTGGGGAGGGGGGGGCAAGAGAAAGACAGAGGTGGTAGACAAAAAAACGAAAAGTGGTCAGGTAACTGCAAAAACACTGGATGTTGCATGAGAACATTAGGGTACAAATAAGAGCTCTGTTTCAAAATTCTGTCCTCTTAAAAACACTGTTGAAAAAACATCAAGACATGAACTCTGTCCCCTTCCCTATGGAACACACACACACACACACACACACACACACACAC